TTTGGGTAGAAACCGGAAGACCCACAGAATCCCTACGGTATTTAACAAAAAGTCATGGCGACTTCCGGAGTGGAGCCGTGCGGTGGACATAAAAAGCAAGAGCCCTCCGCACATCCAAAAGGTGCAAAGACCGCTCCAGGGGAGTAGAGGGATTGGAAAACAATGTTGGAAGAACAATGTCCTGAGACATATGAAACTGAGATGCTGCCTTAGGCAAAAAAGAAATGTCCGTGCGAAGCACAACCTTATCTTTATGAAATCTGAGGTAGGGAGTGTCGACTCGAAGAGCCGTAAGCTCGCTAGCACGACGAGCAGAAGTAATAGCCACTAAAAATGCCGTTTTCCAAGATAGATGGGCCATGTCAGAAGTGGACATGGGCTCAAACGGTGGCCGTCCAAGGGCAGAAAGAACAACCTCTAACCTCCAAGAGGGGGGCACAGGTCGGACCTGCGGCCGAAAATTACTAAAGCCCTGCAAAAACCGTCGTACAAGAGGATCGGCAAAAGGGGAGGGAAGCAAATATTGTCTGCGAAACAAAGCAATAGCTGCCAAATACACCTTCAGGGAAGACAAAGAGAGTCCTGAGTCTGACAACGAAACCAAAAAATCAAGGAGGAGAGAGGTCGAAGCAGACAGAGGCGGGACCCCATGCTGCTGTGAAAAACTGCAAAAACGACGCCACTTACAGAGGTAAGAATGCTTAGTGGCAGGTCTCAAGGCAAGGTCCAAAATATCCTTCACTGATTGAGAGAGGGTTGAGGTTGGATCCGCCATGCCGTCAGACGCAACTGAGCGATCTGGGAGTACGGGACTGGGCTGTCGTTCACAGTCAACAAATCCGGTCTGAGTGGCAACTGAATGTAATTGTTGCCTGCAAGCTGAAGAAGAGTGGCAAACCAAGGCTGGCGGGGCCACCATGGAGTGATGAGAATACAGTCCACTTGCTCTGCCTGAAGACGGGACACCACTCTGGAAAGCAGGGGCAGAGGTGGAAAAATATACAGAAGAGCAGATGTCCAATTCAGGAGGAAAGCATCTCCTAAACATCCCGTCTGGTGGTTGTAAGGAAGCCGTGCTCCGAAGAACTGGCATTTCGTGTTGGCGGGAGAGGCAAACAAATCCACCAGAGGAGTTTGCCATCTGAGAAAAAGTTGCTGGACCTGGAATGGATGCAGGGACCATTCGTGGTCGGTATAAACGGTCCGGCTGAGAGAGTCGGCAAGAGAGTTGTCGACACCAGGAACATGAACAGCTGAGATGGAGATATTGTTGGTTACGCACCAATTCCAAATCCTCAGGGTGAGAAAAAGAAGAGCCTGAGAGCGCGTTCCTCCCTGCTTGTTGATGTAGAAGACCACCGTAGTATTGTCGGTGGTCAGCTGAATAACACAGCCTGTGAGCAGGTGGCTGAAGGAATGAAGTGCCTTCTCTACTGCCAGCAGTTCTAGATAGTTGATATGCTTGGTCCCCTCTGCTGCAGTCCAAGGGCCGTGGCTGGTGAAGTCCTCGAGATGAGCACCCCATCCCAGAAGTGAGGCATCTGTAGTCAGGATGATGGAGGGTTTTGGAGGCTGAAAAGGCACCCCCACACAAAGGTTGGACCGATGAGTCCACCAATCCAGAGACTGGCGCACAGAAAAAGGGACAACCAAACGTCTGCCGGGACTGTCGACCAAGGGACGAAATGTCCTGAGAAACCAACTCTGTAGAGGCCGAAGGCGCAGACGAGCCAAGGGAGTCACAGCCGTTGTGGAGGACATGTGCCCTAGAAGACACTGGATGTCTCTTGCTCGGACCGAAGACTTGCGCATGATCCGAAGGGCCAACGTGCGGAGGGTTCGAAACCTGTCGTCTGGTAGGTAAGCTCTGGACTGCTGAGAGTTGAGAACTGCTCCAATAAACTGGGTGACTTGTGTTGGTTGAAGATGAGATTTCTCCTCGTTGATAATTAAACCCAGATTCTGCAATAATGACAAAGTAAACTGGATGTTGTCTTGTAACTGGGCAGCGGTCTTACCGACCAGCAACCAGTCATCTATATAAGGATAGACAACGATACCACGTGACCGAAGATAAGCTGCCACCACCGACATTACCTTAGTAAACACCCTGGGGGCTGTGGAAATGCCAAAAGGTAAAATTCGGAACGAAAAAGCCTGGCCATTGGTGGAAAAAGACAAAAATCTATGATGGCGCGCCCTAATGGCGACATGAAAATAAGCATCCTTCAAATCGATACTAGCAAACCAGGCATCTTTAGGCAGGAGGGGAAGGATGGTTGTCAACATTACCATCCAAAATCTACGATATATAATATAGGCATTAAGACATCTCAGGTCTAGAATAGGACGAAGTCCTCCATCCTTTTTGGATACCAAAAAATATTTGGAAAAAAAGGAAACAGAAAACATAGAAGGAGGTAAGGGTGCTATCGCTCCCTTCTCCAACAAAGTAAGGACCTCCTGCCACAAAACAGAGGAATGAGGGGTAACCTTAACCATCCCCACAGGGGGTTCTTCAAAAAATTCAATGGCATAACCATGCTCAATGATTTCCAATACCCAGGAATCAGAAGTGATAGCACGCCAAGCTTCCAGATATGGCGCCAGACGAGCTCCAAAAACAGGAGAGAAAGGTGCATTACCTACGCCAAGTGAAGAAAGGGAAGAACCGCCACCAAGAGAGGGAGGGGCATGATCGTCAAAAACGACGCCGACCCTGGTCCTGTTGCTTCCCTTTAGCCTGTTTACTCCCTTTGAATGGTTGGGAATTACGTTTGCTTGCAGGAGCAGGAAATCTAGGGTTTTGGCCCTGCAAAGGTCTAAAAGGAGTAGGCCATAAAGGCTGACAATACAAAGGCTGAGGAGCTGGCCACCTATATCTAAACTGAGTAGGGGGCTTAGATGAAAAACCAAAATCCTGTGCAGCAACACGAATCTTCTGCGTACTCTTTAACTGAGCATCAGTCTCAGGATGAAAGAGACTATCCTGTGACATAGGCAACTCCTCCGCCATAGATCGTCCTTCCTCAGACAGTGTAGAGGACCGCAGCCAGGCATGTCGTCGAAGAGCTGTTGCAGCTGCAAACATCCTACTTGCTGTATCAGCACTATGTTTGCCCATATTCTTTTGACGGTGAGCCAAAATCAAGCCTTCCTGACACAAAGTCTTAGGAAGTTGCTGGTGCTCTTGGGGAAGGAAATCCAAATAAGGGGTTAAAGTGTTCCACAAAAAAGACTGATATTCCCCCATATACGCCTGATAATGAGCCATGCGAGTAATCAAGCTGGCTGCAGAATGAATCTTCTTGCCACAACCATCCATCTTCCTGCCCTCCACGTCAGGAGGAGCAGATTGAAGTCTTTTGGATTTTTTAGGCTGCACCACCTTTACAACAACAGAGTTAGGCTGCAAAGGTCTAGTCAACCATTCCGCAGAGGAGGTATCCACGCGATAAAGAGTATTGACTTTCCGTGACACTGGAGGCACAGAAGCTGGTGGCCCTTTTTGAGTCTTAGCCAGCTTCAACAAATAATTAAGTGCAGGCAAAACAGTAGGAGGTGATTGCTCATTCTGTTGATCAGCAGGAAAAAGTAAATCATCAACAGGTTCATCTGATGAAGAAACAGCAGGCAACTGCAGGGAATGAGCCAAACGCAAAATTAAGGAAGCAAATGAAGAAGCCTCTTCTAAAGCAGAAGTTGGAAAGGAGAAATCCTCCTGAGCAGAAAGCAAATCCTGATCCTCAGAAGAATCAGAATCACAGTCAGTCATTAATAGGCTCATTAGTTGCCCTGGAAACAGGAAGGAAGCTCCTATTAACAGGTTGGATCCCAGGAGCCTGAAATCCCTGAGGGACATGAGAAGGAATTGGGGGATGGGGCACAAAATACCAACCCCCTTGCTGAGCACCAGGCCAAGGTGTCAGAGGGGAGGGAAAATAAGAGGAAGGAGGAAACCCAGGCAACAGCTGGCGTGAGTCTGAATAGGGAGGGCAACCCGAGGGGCCCTCCATGGGATCATCTTCCAAGGGCTGAGTCCCAACGGAGCGGCAAGCCATCGCTCGGCCAGGCGGCGTGGCTGCCGAGGGAATAAGAGGCTCAGGCATCTGAGTGGGAGGGGGAGCCTCTCTTACCGGCTGAGGAGGAAGGAAAGGCAAGGGAACAGAAGGACGCGAGTCCTGTCGGCCCGACAGGCTCTGCCCCTCCTCAATATCGCTCGCTGGAAGCCGCTTGGTCTTCCGGCGGCATTTAGAAGGTGCCGGCTCCGCCTTCTCTCTAGCGGTTGCTGGGGTGGCGGAGGGCCGTTTAGCAGGCTTTTTCCCTGCTTGAGAAGAAGGAGCTGCAGGGAGAGGGAGAGCTTCCCCGACTGCTACAGCAGCCGTATCAAGACGCACGGCTGCCTGCGCTTCAGAAGACGCGGCGCCGGCACGAGAGGAAACAGCTGGCTCTGCTCGCCGGCAGAGCACACAAAGGGGATGGGGGTCCCCTTGAGGCAATTTACCCCCACATTTAAGGCATTTAATAGCCAAAGGGGCAGACATACTGGCCTGATAGTCCAAATTAGAGGAAAAAAATCCTAAGGAGTCCCAAGCAAAAAAAAATGGAGACAAAGTAATCCGATGTTCTTGCTTTCACGGACGAAAAGAACTGAGGCTCCAAGCCCCGCTGCCTGGCTTTATTGGGAGGAAATGGGCGGGCTTGGAGTCCCTAATTGCATAAAGCTTTCAAGAAAGATCCGATTCAGCTGCGTGGACGCAGAGAAGTACCACAGGTGTGGATTTCACAGCACCACGCAGAAGAATCACGTTTTAAAAAGTTGTTTTTTTTAATAGTCTATATGCAATACACATTCAGAAAAAAGAATAACACACATCTGCATAGGCTGACTACTTACCATATTTAAATAAAGGTTCCATAAAGCTTGGATTTCTCTGGACAGTGTTTACTCAGACAGTGCAATATATCTTATAGGGAAAAATATTCCAGGTAACAGATACTTATAAGTTATATTACTTTATTGACTTTGGTCTGAAATACCAAATAATTATTTTTACAGTATTTTATTCATTCAGTATATTGCTCACTGATCCACAGAACTAGTTCTGATAACATCTTCCATTCTCACAACTCATCCTGTCGAAGAATATTTTGTCCTTATCTGTGTCCCTTACTTCATTTTGCATGTCCACAAAAATGACTCTCCTGTCCAGCAAAAAATCAGGCATTTATCTCAGAAAACGAATTTCTAAGTTTGCTAGTTTTGCTCTTTCTGCTGAGTCTTTTTTGTTGTTGTTGTTCTGGGCGACAACATGTAAGAAATATCTTAGTGCACATTCCTTTGACATAATTTGATGGAATTCAATGTTCAGCACTAAGACAATTTGTGGTCCATTCATGATTCAGGATTTGGGGGGGAAATTTTGTAATCCTTGCATCTTTCCAGTACTCTCATCCCCACTTCCTTCTTGAAAGGCAATATCCATTTCTCCTGAAATGTTGTCAGTGAATTTAAGGCTGGTCTCCCTAAAGCAATAAAAAGGATTGACATTTTTGAGAACACAACAAAAAAGTAAACTCTTAAATTTCAAGCTCCCTATATGGCTTAGCAGAGGGTGAAAACAACCCTGTAACATATAACTGGAAATTTACAATCAGTCTCAGAAGGAGTTTTTTCCTTCATAGAATACTCAAAATAAAGCTCACTCTTTGTTTAGACAGTCTACTGTTCTTATCAGCAATATAGCACTTAAGAGATGTAGCTATGCAGGAATCAAGGCTATCAATAAGCCATTTATGCCCATTATGTATTTTTGCAATAGCATATTCATCTGCAAATACTCTACTGCCTATAATACTCATCTGCAATCTGAATGGACAAACTGAAAATAGCAGTATCTTTTTTTAACCAGACATTCAAAGACTGATGTATTTGAAAAGTTTAGGTCAGGGAACTACTAATAAACTCATTGAAAATGCAGTGCTGGATAAAAGTTTTACGAATACCATAGACACACACACAATATTGCACTTTATTTATTCCCTGACAGCATATCCCAGAGGGATTCAGGGCGGCTCATAAAGCACTCAAAGGTGCAAACACGCAAGATACAAAAAGTGGTAAGACAATACCACAAAAGCAATAACAACCAACAAAAACATCACAACCCACCCCCCAGGTGGTCAAGATCAGTAAAATGGAACAATAGCTGCAGGTATAAAACAACTGTAATCAATATCATGGGCCATTACAAAGATATGCTAGTTTGAAACAAAATAATTCAGAGCATAGCACCACTTCATTAGGGAATACAGTAACAATTAGGGGGAGATCAAGATATACCTTTCTTTGTGTAGATAAATCCATAATAGTTCAATGCCAGAGGTAACAAAATGTACGTAACTGCACCAGTTCCTTACCATTCTGCCAGCTTCTGTTCATATAGCTCCCTTTGTTTCTGTTTTCTTTTCTCAAGCAAGGATTCGCCAGTAAGATTTTGTGCTGCCATCAGTAATCCTCCTGCTGGAACGCTGTCGGAAGACGCCACAGGAACACTTAAAAGTGTCAACCATTATGACAGTCACACAACACCTCACTATTCCTTGCATCTTCTTCCTCTCCCCCAATCCATTTTCCTTTTTTTAAAAAAAGTTGCAAAATAGAACTCATTTCCATACTACAAACCAGTGATTTTCAAACTCTGGTCCTCCAGATGTTTTGGACCTCAGCTCCCTTAATTCTTGGCCTTTGGACAAGCTGCAGGATCCTCTGAGACTCGAAATCCAAAACACCCAGAATACCAAAGTTTGGGAACCACTACTCTAAACCAAATATTCATCATTCAATATACTTTACAACTATCAGAGCTGTACCAAGAACAAAGTGTCCTGATCTGGAAATGGTAATCTGTTGACATATCATCCTTAGTATGACAAGGTTGTTTAGACACATAAACCCAGTAAGTGTGATGTGTGTGGGGGGGGGGGGCGAGGATGGTCCCTGTAGTTTCCATTTCATGAAGTCTTGTGCTCCAAAACCCTTGCGTTTAATATCTGAATCTCACTGGCTTCAGAAAACTCTCTTTAAGAGAGTTCACATTGTTTAGAGCCAGTGGTTGCCTATAAAGAAAGCTTCCCATGCTATTTCAAAGTGCTTTGGGAGCAGGAGAATGAGGAAGCTGACAGTAACAATGGTAGCCAATGGGGCAATATACTGTAAGCCAGATTTGATTCTCTGATGAATATAACCACTGTTAACATGTAACAAGTAACTTGAAAGCACATGTAGTGTGTTGGTTTGAGTGCTGGATTAGGAGACTAGGGAAAAAGGGTTGAAACCCCCAATCTGCCATGAAAACCGATTGGGCGACTTTGGGCCAGTTATAAACTCTCAGCCTAAGAAGTCATCTCTCCCTCCCTCTCCCTCTCTATATATAAATAATTTAGACATGAGATACTTACGTGGTGCATCTACACATAAGTATCTTATGTCCATGTTCTTGAATATGGGCATAACATATATGATGCATATCCTCCCGAATTAAACACACTATTATTTCAGATTGGACCTGACCATAATAAAAAATAATAATAACATTATTTTTATACTCCGCCTCCATCTCCCTGAAGGGACTCAGGCGGCTTACATAGGGACAAAGGTAATTATTCCTTCCCACGGACATTAGACTAGCTCCATCATTAATGGTATTCCGCAAAAAAGTGAAAACCTGGTTGTTTGAGCAGGCGTTCAAATAGTCAGTGCAATGAATGTAATGAACATAGGAATGGAACAATGGATAACGGATCTGGATCATGTTTTTAGTGATGAGACGCTAGTGAATGGCTATTGGTGTTAATTGTATATTGTTGTTAATTGTATACTTTTATATAATATGTTATGATGTTAACTGTTTTTTATACTGTGTGATGGTAGCATTGAATCTTTGCTGTTCTTGTTGTTAACCGCTGTGAGTCGCCTAAGGGCTGAAAACAGCGGTATACAAATAAAGTAAATAAATAAATAATAAATAAATAAATATTCCAATTTTTCACAGTGCATTGCCATAAATGGCAAACTTCCTCTGAATAAATTTCCTCAAGCAAATCCTGCAACAGGATTTTAATACATTCAAGATTATTTAGAGGCACAACAAAACAACAACACCAAAATGAAATATCAGCTTGGCACCAACACCGTGCTAGACTGATCAGCTGACCACTGAAATCGTGGTTTTGGAACGAGGCTTTTGGCTAGCAGGCACAACGGCACTTTGGACATTGAATTGGACCATATGATGAGTCTGCCTATTCAGAGAGAGAAAGTAAATCTATTCAAGAAGTAAATATTAATGTGAAAAGAAGAAAAACTAAGAAGGTGGAAGGGAGAAATAGTTATCATCAATCAAAAAAAGAAAAAAATAGGATTGTGACTAAAGTTGAGAAGAATTTACAGTATTCTGTAAAATGCTGCTGAGTTTCAAACATTAGCATAGGCTTAGCTCTGAAAACAATCACATCTACGTAGTTAAACATGGTGATTCTCCTTCCTGGAACATCTTTGCATGTGTGGACATGTGAGTAACTCACCCCAACAACGCCCCCAAAATGCTTCCGCCAAGCAAACCTCTCAAACCCAAATTCAGTCTGAACAAGCCTCCTGTACAAGCTAAAAACAAAACAAAACCAACATCAGAACATAAAAGGCAGCTTACAAATAAGATCAAGTACAATACAGAAAAATAACTGTTCTCTCATTCATGATTTTGAGGCAAAAGTAAGCAATGAATGCTGGCTAATCATAAACTGTAAGAGATTTTAATAGCGTACAGGAATTGATCTGGTTTACAGATTCTGACAAAGGAAAAAATGCTGTTTTTCCCAGTCTCTTACCAAAGAAAGATTACTTTTCAAAATTCGTACCAAAGATATCAGATATTTGGATTATCCTATTGAAAATTACAATGGTAACTTTTGAAAAGCAAGTCAAAAGAATAACCACCAAAAGCTCCAATTCCGATGATGAACAAAGTACAAAATACAAGCCCAAATGAATTAAAAGGATATGATAAACCACTGCATTTGCTTTATCACAATGCTGTGCCAGAAAACTGAAGCAGCTTCACCCCAAACCAATCTAGACAGAAAATTGGGAGAATTAACAATTTTTGAAGTATTTTAAAATATAGCTTTTCATTCCTTCAGCCACAAAAATACAAATCAAAATCCACTTATGTTTCACACCAAGCTTATAAATGGTTTTCCTCAAGATGGAAGTTATTAATAAGCAAAATCTGCCAGTCAAAGCACAGCAGAAAACCTATCTCTCTTTAGTTAGATTTCCAGTTCTCTGGTTGAGCTATGTGTTTCTGTTTAGAGGTAAATTAATGAAATAAGTGGAGCTTCATGATCCATTAATTTTGTGTGTGTGTCAAGAGTGACTTGAGAAACTGCAAATCACTTCTGCTGTGAGAGAATTGTCTGTCTGCAAGGACGCTGCCCAAGGGACGCTTGGATGTTTTACCGTCCTGTGAGAGGCTTCTTTCATGTCTCCACATGAGAAGCTGGAGATGACAGAAGGGAGCTCACCCTGCTCCCCGGATTTGAACCGCTGACCTTTCGGTCAACAGTCTGCTGGCACAAGAGTTTAGCCCACTGTGCCCTCAGGGGCTCCTGTCAATTAAGTTGAAATGAGATTATAGCTTTAATAATTTAGTAATCATCTAATTTCAAAATCCTTTAACAATATTTCACCCAAGAACCAGAAAAATCTGCTCAATGTTAATACTGTGATCATAAGTACACGGTTTGTGAGGTGATTTTATGAAATGAACAGGGTAGTAACAAATATTCCGAATATTTCTTTTAAACAATGATGCATATTACTAAATGATTTACTATATCTTCTGGTTAACTAGTGACAATAAAGGAAGCCTCTGGCTTTCTGAATCTAATCCTCCTCAATCAAAATCTCTGCATTACTAAAAAAGAGAATGAGAGAAAACTCAAAAGAAGTAGAGCCTTACCTCCTGCAAGAGCGAAGTGGCTGAGGGCAATTTTGTCACGGTACGCAGTGAGTCCAGTGCTCACAGTGCTGCGGGAGAAGGAGAAAGACAAGCATCAGCAAGGACTCTACTAAATTTTGGGATTTGTTTTATTTCTGAAGACCCAAACGCTGTCCTGTTAAGTCCTGTCTGTTTTCATGTATCAGGACTAAAAAAGATGCTTTAATAATTGTAGATGTTCTGAGAAGTTACTTATTTCACATGAAGTCCGAATTTGTCTCTGACATAGAGGAATTCTGTCTGCCTCTCATACTGCTTTGAACCTGCTGGAATTTCTAAATGTGTCTATCATTAATATGTTATACATTGAGGAGAGCGGTCCCTTCGTCTATGATTATCATATTCACTAACTTGCAAAAGCAGTAATTATGAATATTGATAGCGAGACTGAAACACAGAAAAGCCTTCTTCTAGATCTTTTTAGTCCAAAGAAGAAAAGTAATATCACAATCCTAAATATATTCCTCTAGTAGTCAATTCCTGCTATGTTCAGTGGTGCTTATTCCTATATCAAGATGTAAAGGATTGCATCCTATTAGTTTGCCTATAGGCATTGAATGCAACCCATTGAAGAAAATATATTGTAGTGATAGCTATTGATCAATGACTCCATATTAAATCTGAAAATGATTTTGGGTAAATAGCAAACTGTATGTATCTGCCATTTTGGACTTTGCAATCATAAATTATTATGCTTCTTATCCTCTGAATATCCCCATTTTCTGGTCTACTATGTTACTGAAGGACTATATAAGTTTTAAGACAAAAAAGCCAGTACTCAAAATTCAGTTTCCTTTTTTAAAGGATTGAAAATATTAGGAAATATGCTGTTTTGGAGGACAGAAGCCATGCCTTTGTTCCATCAGAGATGCGGCAGATGGCAGAAGATTCAAAGGCAGTCCTTCTAATCATCTGACAAGTCGCTGCTTATATGAGTAACTATTCTAAAATTATTTCCCACCCTTAATGTATCTCTGGAATTCACACCAACTGTGTTTCTCTTTCATAGTTAATAACAGCCACACATACTTGAATATTGCCACGAATGCTGCAATTCTCCAGCTCCAACGCCAGCCATAACGGACGAAGCCTCTGACTCCTGCACGATGTGCAGATTGCTGTGAAGAAAAATAGGGAGCAAAATTTATTGGGCTACAACACAATGTTTATGAAGTTCACAGTGCTGTTCTATATGCCCCATATCAAACATTAATGGGAAAAAATCAGGCATATTAGTGCAGTGTTTTGTACTGGGGGAGAGAATCATGAAGGCCTTCATGTATGCTCCCAGAAGTCCTAGGCACCATAGCTAATAATGGGAACAATGGGCACTGCGGTTCAAATCTCCAGGCAGTCTGCAATTACCACTCCAATCCTAAGTATTTTTATTTATTAACTTTATTTCTACCCCGCCTCTCTCCTCATGGGGACTCAAGGCAGCATAGTATAACATAACACAACCCAATATATTTAAAAGCATGACAAATGAAATACAAAATTTAAAAACAATCAAATTACAATTAAATATTTATGTCACTGATATATGTTAAAGATATAGTCAAGATACAATAAAAAATACTCAATTAAAACTGCATGTAAAACTAAATATTTCCCTACCTCCCTGCTAAATATTTCACCTAGAAGCAGAAAATAGCTGTCTTGAACATATCCTTAACATAAGCTTTCATAAAAATTTGTATGCTTCAAAAGCAGTAACAATATGCATACTCTATCTGAGCCTTTACTGACAGAAAGTGGATTAGAACAATTATGTCAGCTTAAGTGTTACCATGACTAAAAAAATGGTTCGTACATACACTCACACTTGTTTTTATCATTAACTTATCGTTCAGTTATTGACTCAGAACTGAGTAATAATAGCAATAATAATTTATTTCTTACCTGCCTCTCTTAGTGGCTTGAGGCGGGTCACAGCACAGTCAAAACACACAAACATCAATCAGTGGTTCTCAACCTGTGGGTCTCCAGGTGTTTTGGCCTACAACTCCCAGAAATGTCAGCTAGTTTACCAGCTGTTAAGATTTCTGGGAGCTGAAGGCCAAAACATCTGGGGACCCACAGGTTGAGACCACTTCCGGTAAAAAAAAACCAAAAACCAAACATGACCTCAAACAACAGGAAATCTGTGATGACTGACCTGTTAATAATTTTTTTACAGTTAACTAAATTGAGACCACAAAGAATAGTTCACTGCAAAAGAAAATGCTTCATGGAAACCCAAACTGAAAACTGTCACTTAACAATAAAGGGGGGGTGGGGGTGGTTCTACAGAACATTGTCAATGCGTGCTCTACCGTGAGAGATATTGGTCCATACCACGGCATCCAGACGATTATGGAAAACTTCTCCTTCACTCTGCTCAATATACCGCTTCTTGGCATAAACAAAACCAGGTATACCTCCATAGAACAAGCCAACAATGCCACCTGTAAACGTTGCTTTCATTATATTATAAGTTTCTTCTGGGTATCGATTATGATCACTGCAAAAGAAAATGCCTCATGAAAATCCAAACTATCCAGCCTAGAGTTCCAGCCATTAAATGATGTGACATTTCCTTTAGCAGATGATTATGAAAGTTACGTACTTAAGTGTTAAGCCTGCAAAACCCAGTAAGTTTTTGGTGACCGGATAGCCATTCTGGTCAATGTTGCTTAAGGAGAGTATAAGTTTCAAAATAATTGAGATGACAACAATAATAATTTCATCATAGGTGGGAAGTCCACTTAAGATGGGAAGTTAACTCAATCCGGTTGGGGAGGGGAGCTACAGGCTCTACCTGGCTGCTCAACACGGTACCTCACTGGGAGCTTCAGCGAGGTGCTCCTGCCACCATGCTGGCCCACCAGAAGTCCCCAACTGATATAAAAGAAAACTGGCTAAAAATGTTCCACAGGTGGTATATCATGCTGATAAAACTAAACCACATGTACAAAAATACATCAAAAAACTGTTGGAAATGTAACGATCATGAAGGGAGCTTTTACCATTTCTGGTGGACCTGTAGGGAAGCTCAGAAATATTGGAAAGGGATCTACGAAAAATGTCAACAAATCTTCAAAAAGAAATTTCCAAGAAAACCGGAATATTACTTATTAGGAATTATTGATGGGGATATAAAATTGGACACGAATGAAGACATTTTATTTATGTACATGACGACTGCAGCTAGAATAAATTATGCGAAATTTTAGAAGCAGAAGGAAATACTGGAGAAGGTTCAATGGATAAAAAAGATAAATGAAATTAAAGATATGGACACATTTAACTTTTTTATTAAAGAGGAACACAGGAAATCCGCGTAAACAAACAAACTGGGTACAGGTGGATGAATACATAGAAAAGAGAAGCAAAGAATTATAATTGTGAATATCACATAACTATGAATCATAAGAGTGGACAATCAGAAATTAGGAAGATTATATAGACAACAAAATTGAACCCGTGTAGGACTAGAAGGGAGTAACCGGACTTTTATTTTCCCCTCCTCTTTTTTATATATACACCTCTATTTACTTTCCAACTTTTCTTTAAAACACTATGTTCCACCACTTTACTTGGATACTATATATTTAAGGTAAAGGTAAAGGTAGTCCCCTGACATTAAGTCCAGTCATGTCTGACTCTGGGGTGTGGTGCTCATCTCCATTTCTAAGCCGAAGAGCCAGCGTTGTCGTAGACACCTCCAAGGTCATGTGGCCGGCATGACTGCATGGGGCACCGTTACCTTCCCGCCGGAGCGGTACCTATTGATCTACTCACATTTGCATGTTTTCGAACTGCTAGGTTGGCAGAAGCTAGGGCTGACAGCGGAAGCTCATGCCGCTCCCCGGAATTCGATCAACAAGCTCAGCAGCTCAGTGCTTTAACCCACTGCGCCACCGGTACCGGTAAACCAAATAAATTTTAAAAAAAGATGGGAAGTTAACTTTATATTTATTTTATTTTATGATTCTTGTTTTTGAGGGGAGAGGAAGTTACCAGTGGTTATAATAGGTATATAGGTGGGAAAGTAAAGGTAAAAGTTTCCCCTGACATTTGTCGTGCCCGACTCTGGTGGGTGGAGCTCATCTCCATTTCTAAGCTGAAGAGCAGGTGTTGTCCATAGATACCTCCAAGGTCATGTGGCCAACATGACTGCATGGAGCACCATTACCTTCCCGCAGACACGGTACCTATTGATTTTCTCACATTTGCATGTTTTTGAACTACTAGGTTGGCAGAAGCTGGGCCTAACAGTGGGAGCTCAGCCCACTCCCCAAGTTCGAACCAGCAGGGGGCCATATAGGTGGTAAAAGTCATGTATTATATGATTACTGACTTTTCAAACCCTATAAGATATTTATAAGCGGCTGAGGGGGGGAAGGAAAGGGCCTGAGACTGTTAGGAATGGTGGGAGTTGGGAGTCCAAAACAACTGGAGGGAAGGCCCAAGTTGGCTCATGCCTGATAAATGTTAAATCCTTCATTCGTCTGCTTTAGATCTGGCCTTCCTTCCTTAACTTCCAGGATTCCATAACAACATTGCGTCACAGAAGGTTCAAGCGGTGTCAAACTGTGTTAATTGCAGAGTGTAGCTGCCCCCTCCCCCCTCTTCACCCACTCGCGGCGGAAGAGCTCCCGGACGCGTCCCCAGCCCGAGTCTTCAGCCCTGGGCTCCGAAGCCGGCGAGGGAGAAGAGGAGGAAGAGGCGGCCTTCCCACCGGCGAGAGCCCGCAGCCCTGCTTCCCCCATGGCCGACCACCCGCCGGAGCAGAAGCAAAAGAGCCGGTGTGCCCCTCTTCCCGGCGCCGGAAGTGGCTCAAAGTGGCGAGCGCCGCCCTGGCGGCCAAGAGGACTCCTCGCAGCCTCTGCCTGCCTGGAGCTGCAGAAGGGCTTTCCGTTCAAGACCTCCACCTACATCTGGTTTAAGCAAACTTGGGCCCTCCAGGTGTTTTGGACTCCAACTCAATTGTGGGAGTTGAAGTCCAAAACACCTGGAGGGTCAAAGTTTGCCCATATCTGTGTTAGAAGATCATCTATTTTAGCCATTGAAACCAGTTGTTAATAGGTCATGTTTCATGCACACGAGAGAAATAGTTTTCTCAAGTATGTAGAGATATTCAAGTCAGAATCATAGTTGGAAGAGGCCTCATGGGTCATCCAGTCCAACCCCCTGCCAAGAAGCAGGAAAATTGCATTCGAAGCACYCCCGACAGATGGCCATCCAGCCTCTGCTTAAAAGCTTCCAAAGAAGGAGCCTCCACCACACGTCGGAGTAAAGAGTTCGAGTACTGAACAGCTCTCACAGGAAGTTCTTCCTCATGTTCAGATGGAATCTCCTTTCTTGTATTTTGAAGCCATTGCTCCGCGTCCTAGTCTCCAGGGAAGGAGAAAACAAGCTGGCTCCCTCCTCCCTATGACTTCCTCTCATCAGGCATGGGGGGGGGGGGGGCTTGAGGGGCTTCACTTAAAAACCGGTTTCTGCCTCCTGCAGAATTCTGGGGTTTGTAGTTTGGTCAGATTGTTAAAGCCTCCACCCTAAACTACAAACCCCAGAATTCTGCAGGAGGCAGCAACTGGATTTAAAGTGGATTCATTCTCTAGTGTGGTGAGGCAGCAAGTGGTGTCAAACAGTATTAATTCCATAGTGTGGAACAGTGTTTCCCAACCTTTTTGACCAGGGACCACTTTGACCAAGGACTACTCTACAACATTAGTAAAGGCTTACGAATCAGTTTTTGGTCAACTTTAGATTTGGTTTGGTTATTTGGGATGCTGATTCAGAAAATTGCATTGGATAGACTGCATTATCACTGCATTATCACTAGTTTCCGATACATAATATATGCCATCCAGTAGTCGCCATCTGCTTGCTCACAGATCATTAATACTCTAGAGCTGATGTAGTCTATCTTATGCAATTTTCTGAACCCCAAGTAACCCCAGGAACAGGCCTAAAAACGAAGATACCAAGATGCCCTTGCTTCCAGGTGCTAAATGGAGTGGCTTCTCTCAGGGTGATGGAGGAGGAAGAGAAGCAGAAGTCAGGAGGCTTTAGTCGTGCCTTTCATGGGTAGTCAGCCTCTCGCCTCCCGACCAGTCTCTCTCATTGCAACCATGTAGTAACAGTGTGGCCACACACCATATTTTAGTTCTTGTGGACCACTGCTGGTCCGTGAACCACATATTGGGAACCACTGGTGTAGATGCGCCACAAGACGTTATTGAGGTCTTGCAGACTCAGGCCTGTTGTTTCCCTAAATAAGCATACTCATCCGAAATATTGTCTTTCCTAGTGACATATCTCATAACACTATGTCACATGATTTTTGTTCCTTAGTTGTAGATGTCATTTCCTAATTGGTTCTATAATAAAAACATGGAAAAGGTGTATAAAACTTTGTTTTGGTGGGACATCTTGCAGCACATTTTGCTATAGTTTGCTGGAGTTTTTCCATTAGCATTTCATTGAGTCTCAACCAATTCAACATAGTTTGTGGCAGCCACAAAAATGTTTCTGAAGTATAACAACTACTTTCAAAGTATGTACTGCACAATTAAACAGAAAATAACCCTTTCAAACCAGGAACAGAAAATGTTTCAAATTTTGTTACAGAGTGTAATTAGTAACACTATGTAAAAAGAAAGTAAGGTTACAAGACTTTTTAAAAATGCAAAGAATGATTATATTTTAATAAAATTTAGATGGATTGTAGCATGGGTATTTCATTATTTTTCCACATAATCACCACTCAGATCAATACATTTTGTCATCCACTTGTTGTCCTTGTGGACAACAAGTTAAACATGAGCCAACAATGTGATGTGGCGGCAAAAAAAGCCAATGGGATTTTGGCCTGCATCAATAGGAGCAAAGTGTCTAGATCTAGGGAAGTAATGCTACCCCTCTATTCTGCTTTGGTTAGACCACACCTGGAATATTGTGTCCAATTCTGGGCACCACAATTCAAGAGAGATATTGACAAGCTGGAATGTGTCCAGAGGAGGGCGACTAAAATGATCAAGGGTCTGGAGAACAAGCCCTATGAGGAGCGGCTTAAGGAGCTGGGCATGTTTAGCCTGAAGAAGAGAAGGCTGAGAGGAGATATGATAGCCATGTATAAATATGTGAGAGGAAGCCACAGGGAGGGAGGGAGCAAGCTTGTTTTCTGCTTCCTTGGAGACTAGGAAGCAAAACAATGGCTTCAAACTACAAGAAAGGAGATTCCATCTGAACATGAGGAAGAACTTCCTGACTGTGAGAGCCGTTCAGCAGTGGAACTCTCTGCCCCGGAGTGTGGTGGAGGCTCCTTCTTTGGAAGCTTTTAAACAGAGGCTGGATGGCCATCTGTCAGGGGTGATTTGAATGCAATTCCTGCTTCTTGGCAGGGGGTTGGACTGGATGGCCAATGAGGTCTCTTCCAACTCTTTGATTCTATGATTTAATGAGTTTCTGATGCCTGTGTCAATAGAAATTTCCCTTCGCCTTTTTCAGCCTCATTGTCATCGGAAAAGTGCTTTCCACCAAGGTGTTCCTTCAATTTAGTGAACAAATCAGAGTCACTGAGATCGGGGCTGTGAGAGGGGTGACTTAAAACATCTGAACCAAATGAAGTCAACAACTCGTGTGTTGCATGAGCGGTGTGCAGACCCACATTGTCATGAAGGAGACAGAGTCCCGCCATCAGCATCCCACAATGTTTTTTTTAATGGCTCTGTGAAGTTTCTTCATGGTCTCACAATATATTCCATACCCATTTTGTCATTACGTCCTCTCCATAAACTGAAATGATTTTGCGATGAATCACAGCGGTTCATGCCCTTAGTATTTAGGTTGAGTTTTACAGCATAAACTTTGCACTTGGAGGGAAGCAGAATGAGGATGCTCATCTCTTTTTTTAAAAATTTTTTATTGATTTATCACATTTATTACATACTATTACATTTTGTACATCAACCTCTTTAACATGTTGTTTTGTTGTTTTGCTCTGACATTTCCCCCCCTTTTCTCTTTTTTTCCTTTTTTCACCACAGTGCTCCCCTCCACCCGTCTCAAGCCACCATTCTTACATTTCATCTGTCCAAAATTTCATTTCTTCTTGTGACGGTAATTTTCCTTCCTTATTTTTTAATCCATTTACCACAAATCTTCCCCATACAGCATCAAAATCGCTTTGTTTCCATATACCTTTTTTAACCTTTAATATACATGTCAATTTATCGTTTATTGCTATTTTCCATGCTTCTTTATACCACTCCTCTATTTGTATATTCATTTCTTTTTTCCAATTCCTTGCTATAAGCAGTCTTGCTATAGTTAGTAAGTTTGTTATCGCTTCTTTATCCTCCTTTTTCAATTGCTTATCGTTATATAATGATAGTAAGGCTATACTAGGACTTTTATCTATTTTTATATTCATTATAGTTTCTATTTCTCTAAATACTTTCTCCCAAAAATTATTTACATATTTACATTGCCACCACATGTGTATATATGTTCCTGGTTCTTGACACCCTCTCCAACAATTTATTGAGTTATTTTTATTCATATATGCTATTCTTACCGGTGTCAAGTACCACTTCCATATTAACTTGTAATAGTTTTCTTTAACTCGTATCGATAAATTTTTTAAATGTCTTTGTCCCCATAATTGTTGCCACTCTATTTCACTTATTTTTATCCCTAAATCTTCTTCCCAAATCTCTTTAAGGGTGCACTTTTTTGTTTTTTCATCTTTCATTTCAATTAATATCTTATAAATTTTGCTAATTATCCTCTCAAATTTTCATGCTCTTCTACAACCCTTCCCTTCTGTATTATTTGTTCAAATTGATTAAGTTTACTTCCATTTCTATTATTTTTTCCCCAATTTTTGAGCCATTGTTCTAATTGTATACAATGAAACCATGACAATTTTATTTCTTTAAACTCTTCCAACATCATTTCCCTCTTCATTTCCACCTTCATCCAATCCCCTATCCTATCTAAGTTTATTTCCCTTACCTTTTTATCCATTACTTTTTTTAAATTTTTGGGAACTTCTTTTCCATCACTATTGGGGTTATAATTGATCCCTCCTTTATTAACCTCCCCTTATATTTATTCCATACTTTCAGTATGTTGCTCAGCATTGGGTTTCTAATTTCCCTCATTTCTTTTCTAGTAAACTGTTTAAAAAATATATTCCAAGTTTCATCTTCCACTTTTCCTGAATCATTACTAAGCCAATCTATTCCCTCTTTTTTAACCATTCCTTCTATAACCAAACTTAATCTACTTGCTTCATAATATTTTTTTATATTAGGTAGCGCCAGTCCACCCTCCTTTTGCGATCTGTACCATAACTGTTTATTTAGTCTGTTTCTTTTACTTCCATTACAGTACTTATTAATCATTTGTTGCCATCTAGTTAGTTCTTCTTCTGTAATTTGAAGTGGTAGCATCCTAAATATGAAATTTATTTTTGGAAGTATTTTCATTTTTACTAATGCTATTCTTCCAAACCAGGATAAGCGTATTCCTTCGTACTCTATTAACTTTTTCTGGACTTCTTTCCTTAATGTTACTACATTTACTTCCTCTATCTCTTTTAAATCCTTAGTTATTATTACTCCCAAGTATTTTAATTTGTTCTTAATTCTTATTCCCATTTTGCTCTGAGCAACAGAGGATGCTCATCTCTAACCTTCACCACAACACCAGTTGATGAGCTACTGACGACTGGCACTAGTCATTCGCTTTCACAGTGATACCAACTTTTCCTGAGAAAATTCCCTGAGAGAGCTTTA